CTAGATTATAACTAAGCTTCAAGGGTGCTGGGCCAGGAAAAATGCAATGAACACTGGGTCAAAGACAAGAAATGAAAATTTCTTTTTAACAACAATTAAATGCAAGTACATGTGTATATTGTTCAGGATATCTGGAGATGTGAATAGTGGCCACATTCCAATTTCAGCAGCAGCTCCTTGTTTCATCATGGTCTTGTCTATAACACATCTTCACCCATACTGTCTATCACACACATTTCTAGGCACCTTAAATTATTAGTCTAAATATTATTCTACTAATATGTCAAGGTTACATTCCCACAGTGATTAGTAGTGAGCTCTAATGATGAATAAACTTTTACTGATTGGTGTTTAGAGCTGTGGGAACAGTGGTGTCATTCTGTACTTAGACTTTCAAAACATCAGTTATCTTTTTGTGCCTGCACTTTTGGTGGTCCTAGTTCCCAATGCCAGTTCTCACTGAATGGGCTCCAAGCTGCAGTTCCTTGTCAACAAACATTTTATTCAAATAGTCTAATAACAACCACATTCATGTTGCAGGATCCTGGAGTATTTGACTGGGGAAAAAAATATTGATCTGTGAGAAGATAGATGCACATGAGGTTATTTGCTGATATTAATATATTTTAGTTATTGGTACATTCTCAAAATTGGTTCAGAGCAATCAGTCCCCTCTTCCAATATAATCTGTTCACATTACTGTCATGAGTCCAACCAAGCTGTACACTCCTGAACCTGCCTCATCTCATTTCCACTGGCCCCTTGATAAAGGAATGTATTTTGAAATGCTCTAGGCTTCTGATGTTTGGTATCTATTAATTTTTTTTTTTTTAATTACTAGTCATGAATAGTTTTATTGCAATACACAAATATGTTTCCATAAATATAAAAACTTCTTTAAAGTGATGATAAAAATATTTGCATTTTCCACAATACAATAATTATGTGTATACAATACAAATATTTTTTGTATACAATACAGATATTATTTGCATTATATGTATACAATACAAGTATTATTGGAACACTGCACATAGTAAAATTCTTAAGAATCAACTTCTGATTTCTCAAAATCCAACTCAACATCTATATTTACCTTTCCATATACATATTCTGAAGTGGTGATGAGAATCCTGATTTTGCATTTGATATGTAGAGTAAAATTCCCATTTTTATGGATTTATTCATTTGTTACAGGCATCCTTGAGTTCTCCAGGTTGCAGGAGTCAGTGGGAAATGAATGCCCTACAACCTCTTGTTCAGCCAGACTGACAGCAAGAGCTTGTGCTGGAAACATTTCCAGCAACTGGAGCAACATGTTCAGCTTTAAACTTCATGGGGAGAGCAGGAAGAGGGATCATAAAGGGTAATTGGTTTCTCCCTTAAATGTGTATTCAATTACACAGTCGACTACTACCAGCACAGAAACCTCTGTGTTTGATTAGGCATTTCTGAGATGCAGAATCCCTGCCAGGATGCTCTTCCTTTTATTGTGCCATGGAATAACCTGAACCTTTTTTCATAGTTGTCTTGTCCACTGATTACAAGTTTGATTCATGAAGATAAGGCTTCCTTTCTTCTCTTTCTTTTAATTTCTTCTTTCTTATTTTTTTTTAAATTTTCTTTTATTTAAAAAATGGCATTAAATAACCAGAGATTCCTGCAGTTAGTACATACAGTTTTCTATTGATTTATTGTCATTTTTCCCCCTTTTTAACTGCAGAATTCTCTCATTACAACTTACTCAAAATATTACTTATACACAACACAATTGCATCTATTGTCAGACATTTTCAAATATCCAGAAGTACCACTTCTGTTTTTATCATCTTTACCCTAGGTTTCAATAAAATCCTATATTGTTTTTAAGTTTTTGTGCCCTAATTTGAAGACCTTCTACAGTGGACAAAGACCAGTATATCTCAGAATTTTGAATCCATTTTCTCCTTAGAATTCTTAAGGTAAGGGCAATACTTATATTGTTATCTAGTATATAATGCAATTCAAAGTATTTTGATGCTATGTCTTTAAGCAACTGAGGCTGGTGACTGAGGAAAAGATGTTGAAGTTTTATTTGAGATGGTCAGTGTTTCTGAGCAATTGGGTTTATAGAAATCTGTATTTTGTGGTGATTTTAGGAGCTTTTAAAAATCATATTATAATAAAACCTATTGCCTTTGGATAAAAAAAAATTAGTAGAAAAGGCTTATCGTTATTCTCCTCTGCCTATGGGGTATGAGCAATGGAGTGAGTGCTGATGAGGTATCTAGGGATGAGACACAGGGAATTCTTCAGATAAGCACACACTGCTCCCAGAGTTTAGTGCTAGACCATTTTACACAGCTTGAAGGCAAGGAAGTCTGTCCATCTCACAAGTCACTTAGGAATGCTTTCCACTTCAGTGAAAATGGTTGTGTTTGTGAGAAAGCATAACTTCAAAACACCCCCCAACCCCCCCCCCCCTCCCCCCCCAAACAGCAACAACAAAGTCTAGTTTTGTTAAGCTCTTTGTAGCTAAATAAATGTGATTGCACTATAAAATTCTTAGGCAGGCTTGGGTTTGTTTGAAGACCATTCCTGAAATCCATCCATATTTCTTGATGTACACATAATGTAATTTCTTATCTGGTACTTTGAATGTTTCAGGGACACAAAATCAATTTTTTCGAAGTTGTAAAGGACAGAACATCAGACTTCAGCATACTTAAATGCTGTACAGTCCATTGGTGAAATTGCAATAAAACTAAACATCAAAATAAAACTTATATAAAAGTTAATAAGCTTAGCATGCAGGATACTTTCAAGCATTTAGAGAAATTGCATTACCAGAAGCCATGATCACTATAAAGCCACTATTCTCATTAAAGACTTTGAGGAGGATATAAGCTTTTCCAAGCAGGTTTCCTCATTATAATTCTTGCAGTGTATGCGAGTAGCTTAAACATTTGCCTTATCACAGAAAAGCAGTAAAAACTTTAAAGTCTACATTTGATACTACCAGGGATTTACATGGTACCAGAACATCATTACTTGGTGTGAAAGACCAATGGCCTGAGTGAGGAAATCAATTGACTTTCTCAGATTTTTATGCATCCAGGATTGTCATGGGGAGTTGTTAGCTATGCACCATTTATTTTCTTTCGAAACCTGATGTTGTGCATTGGGTCTGGCTGGGTTGGAATTCACATTAAGATGTGAATTCATTCACATCATCCAACATTGTATTGGGGTTTGTGGATAAAGCAGTCTTACTAACTTGCCAAAATTCTAGATTTTGGGAGGACCCAAGTGTGGCCCTCCAGTACCTGAAGGGAGCCCACAAGAAAGATGAAGGCAGACGTTGTACAGGGGAGCCTTGAATGAAAGGACAAGGGGGAATGGCTTCAAACTGAGAGAGAGTAGGATTAGATTAGATATTGATAAGGAATTCTTTACTGTGAGGGTGGTGAGGGCCTGGCACAGGTTATCCAGAGATGCTGTGGATGTCCCATCCTGGGAGGGTTCAAGGCCAGGCTGGATGGAGCTCTGAGCAAACTGGGATCCTGGATGTTGATAAAGGAACAAGATGAATGTTCTGAAGGAATTAATGACCTTTAAGGTCCCTTCCAACCCAAACTACTCTACTATTTTATGATTTCTCCTACTGCTGGGTAGTGCCAAGACTTTCTCTTTTACCCACTCCACCCCCAGAGTTTTCTAGGAATGGGCAGATAATTGGGAGGGGACAAAGCCCAAAGGCACATGTCATAATATTTGACATCATGCACAGGCAAAGGGAAAAGACAGAGGGGATGTAATTGTTTATGGTGTTTGTCTGGAAGGTGTGCTGAGACCATGATTTCCAGGACATGGTTGGTCATCTGCCTGCTGATGTAGAGATGCACACATTGACACTGTTGGGATTGCTCAATTTTCCTGAAGAGAAGAAAATTTCTTTATTAGCATTGATGAATAAATAGGCCTTTCCAGGATGGTCATGGAGCTGGTTACATTTGTCTCTGGGACACACTGGCAGCATCTCAAAATTCTTCTTATTCAGAAGCTGAAGTTTTTGACTGTTAGTTCAAACTCCTGCATGATAATCTAGTTTGTATTGCCAAATATTTAACACCAATCTGTGCTTTGGACCTTGACTTCTTGTTACAATTCTTCAGCCTCTTATTTGATAATAACAACAAAGAAACTAAATTAATAAGCAAAGTTAACTTTTACCCAAACAAAATTTGTGGAGGCGTTTCATAAAAGAATCTATGAGATTGAATTTGTAATAGTAAATGCATCAGACTCCTTGGTGTCAGAAGAACTGACTTAAGAAAATGGATGATCATGTTTTTCTCTGAATAATCAAACTATTGTTATGGCCAAAAGAGAACACACACACACACGCACACACACACACACACACACACACACACACACACACACACATATATATGTGTGTGTGTGGTGTGTGTGTGTGTGAAATTACAGTTTTGTTACAGCCCAATAACTGCTTTTACAGCCTAATAGTGAAATTATTACTCAACTTACAATAATAACAATACTCTTAAGTGAAATTGATACGGGACAAAATATTAAGAATTTTAAAAATCATTATACATTTAGAGCTACTAACCATAGCATATAGGTAAAACCTTACAGAAGGAAGGCCTTGTAAAGCCATGGCTCAGGCCTCTTACTTTGGTTAATAGGAAAGGACTAGGGGAAAGTAACACAGATGAATTAGAGGTAGAAAAGCAATTTATATAACAATTACGTGTTCACATTGTGGTGTATGGTGGTTTGGTTGAATTATGTTTGTTATGATTTAAAGCCAAATAACTGGAAAAGGCCTGCCTGCTTAAAAAAAGCTTGGTTTTTACAATAAAGCTGCTCTCCTTTGCACTGCCTGGGGACTCTGCATCGCTCTGCTTTGTACAAATAAAACCAACTTGTTTCCTCTTGTATTCAGCCAACCCTTCCAATGTCCCTCTGGGCACTGACCCTTCTGCCTTCCCCAGGGGTACCAGAGCCACTTGATGAAGCCAGGGGGAAAAGATGCAACATGAGGAGCATCCTTCTGCTCTGAGGAGAGGAGGAAGGATGAGGGAGGGAAGAGGCCACAGTCCCAGAGGAAGGAATGGTCTAAAGGTCACTGCGATGCCTGAAAGGCCAACAGCTATGATTCAGATTGGAGCAGAATAAATCTGGTTGTGGAACTGGGTTGCTGGTTTTATTTTTTTTTTTCTTTTTTTTTTTTTTTTTTTTTTTTTTTTTTTTTTTTTTTTTTTTTTTTTTTTTTTTTTTTATTTTTTTTTTTTTTTTTTTTTTTGGTTTTTTTTTCATATTTCAAACATAAATTGAAGACAAAGTCTGTGGTAAAGACTTGTGGCTGAAGACTAACAGGTCCTAAGAGAGTACAAAATTCTTCACACAGTAAAGCCTAATGATATAAAAGGAACACAAATACAAGTCTATATTGGTTTTCTGATGAACTGAAATACCATCAAATGGGCTTGCTTTATCTTTGCAGCTATCTCGGAGAAAAATATCCAGGGAAAATTTACTCAGGAACAGCTGATGTTATTTTAAATCTGGTTTTATCTAATCTTGAATGATTCTAAATGGCTTTCCATAAGGTAAATTTATTTGAATTAATGTTACCTCATATCTCATATTTCCTCTGGTACAGCAGAGTAAAAATTTGCCTTTTTTTTCTGACATTGAAGCAACATTTTGAAACAAAGCATTATTTATTGAATGCTCAAAGGCACAAAGTATTTTGGAATACAGATTAAAAAATGTATTCTGGCTACACCTCTGTAGAGTCTTCATGCTAGCTTCATCTATCTGACAGAGAAAAGAAAAATCAGTCAAAGCAAAAGCTGCAGAACCTCTTGCTGTCCCTTTGTCTTCCTCCCTCTGCAGATTTTTGCCTCTTCATCAGTGTTGTGCATACTTGGCAGGCTCTTCCTGCTTCTTCAAAACTCTGGTCTAGCCTCAAATGGGCAAAGTTTTACATCTCTTTTGGTCCCATTCCAACCTGAATGAAACAAGACAAATAAGGTTTATTCCCACTGATTATGGAGATATTATTTTCTTTGCTGGTTTGAGTGGTGACATTACAAAAGATTGACTTGCGTTTCCTCTAGATTGTGTCAATTGTTGTCTCTATTGTAGTTTTATCTGAAGAAAATAGTTAAATCACTATACCTATCTCCAAGAGATTCTTACAACAGACATAAATATAATACAGGCATTTCAGAATTTACCATAATAGATTAAATTTGTTGTTTACTCTTGCCAGTAATAAAAAAATACTGTAAAATAATTTTGAGTTTGTGTTATCTTTTTGCCTCCAACAAGAAAACTGCAGCATACCCAGGCCCTTGCACAGAGATAGGCTTGACTAAGCATTTTAAACTTAACCTAAAGCCTTCTTTAGAGGATTTTGGGGTATAAAGAAACAACTACACCAACTCTTGAAAGAGAAGGTTTTTCTATTGCATTTAATCTCTGCCACCATTGTTTTAAAATGTAGCATTTTACTGATTATAGATCTACTTGTAACTGTTTGGGGGCTATTGTGTGAATAGGACTTTTGAAAAATGGCTGTTTTATTTCCTCTGCAATCTAATTTATTGCTGAAATTTGAAGATTTAGAATTTCCGTTTATCTGGACAGGAATTAATTGACCCAGATCACCTCTGTTGCTCTGATGAAAAATATATTTATATATTTCCAATATATTTATGTATTTATTAGAGACAGCAAAAAGGTTCAATCGGAACAGATCAGACACATAATCTTCAGAAATTGTACATTACATGTTAATTCAAAATAATTCCCATTTCTTGAACTCTCTGAAGCAGAACTTCTTCCTTTGGAAACTGACAACTCCACAAAACCACTAAATTCTAGAAATTTCCCTTTTATCTGACATCTTTTAGTTTGCTTAGTTCCACAAAATATAAAGTGTCAGACCTTTGAATGTGAAGCCAAGAAAATATCTAACAACTTCAGTACCACAACAAAAATATTTTATAAAAATGAAAGCAATCAAAAGTCTCTCAAGTGACTCTATCTGTGGAAAACAAGTTTACTTCCTCAGAACTGGATGAGAGCTCCCAAATGTGAAGTCAAGCTCTCAGATTTTATGGCTCTTACTTCTAGAATTCTCATTAGAGGAAAGGCAATTCTATTCCACACTGAAATTTAGTTCTAAACTTCTGAACCATTGCACAATTTTGGCATGAGAAAAAGTGATTCTTTATTGGTGAGGCAGTAAAGAGGAAGGGTTTCTAGGTGATTACCCTGAATTAGGCTATTATGTTATATTAACCCAGTTTTCTAAAACAATGCTGCAAAACAGTGCAGTGGTCCTTTCACAGTAATATCATATAAATACAGAGTGACCATGGGTCTCTAGTATTGAATCTTCCCTCTTTATGAAATATTGGTCTCCTATTCTTAAGTGTCAACCCTATTTGGATAGAATCTAGTGCATTTCATAAACTGGAAAGCAGCTCAGAGAAAAAAAAAAAAGCGTGCTTAAGAGAAAGAATTAGAGGATGAAAAAAGAAAAAACACATTAAAAGAAAATCAAATGCCACTAAACCAAATCAGGTACTCATGGAAAGTAGAAGATCAAACCAAAAGCATAATGTCAGAAGTTTTTAATACATTGTGTTGCTTAGATCAGTAATTCTCCTATATATTTTTTGTAATTAAAATTAGTTACTAGTTATTAGTGTGTTAGTTATTAGTGTACATAAGGAATACTCCTTTAAAATTATCTTAGTTGTCTTTTCACTGAAGGGCTGAGAAAGTTAGAATTCATAGAGATAGTTTGACGGCAATATGCCCAAACAATGTAGCTTATTGTTTGGAATTGTGGCACAAGGGGTTTGTATTGATTCAAGAAAGCAAATTGTAAGGTAGGCATAACTCCACAGCACTAAAAAAATAACCTCAGAGAAAGCTGTATGCTTTAACCAGCCTTAAAATAACTGGGATGATTATTTTTGTAGAGCTTGTTGGCTGCAGATGGGCACAGCCTGAAAACCTTCCTTTATGCAGCTAAAATTAAATAAGAGCAATCTGACCTTGAAAAAGAAAGACAAGACACAAGGGAGGGCAAAGGGCTCTTTCCTCCTCTATATTCTGCCAGAATGTGGAGGTCTGGCAACTTATACACCCTGTTTATAATGAGTTCCAAATCATTGACATAAAAAGAAGAAAATAATGCTTTAATATTCAGAATAAGATGAACATAGTAATGCTGCAAAGCCAAAATAGTTCTCCTTTTCTTATGCAGATGAAATGATAAATCTGAAATAGTTTGCTTTGGCTTTTTCTCCAACACACTGTCAAATTGACAGTTTCCTTTTAAGCATGCTGATTTTTACCCAAACTGTGTTTTCAAATGAAGACTCTTCTTACCTTTTATGACAGAATCACAGAACCATAGAATATTCTATGAGTTGGAAGAGACCCACAAGGATCACTGTGAGCAGCTCCTGGCCCTGCACAGGACCATCCCTACGAGTCACACCATGTGCCTGGTGCATTCTCCCAACACTTCTTGAATTATGTCAAGCTTAGTGCTGTCACCACTGCCCTGAGGATCCTGGTTTTCAATTATCCTTTCTGTATTTCCTAGGCAAGTGCCAATGAAAATCGTATTCTGGATGGTTTTGGTTGGTTGGTTGGTTGGTTCATTTGGGTTTCTATGTTTTATCCAAGTTTTTTGTAATTTATAATCTGATTTACATGTATGGAATGTTGGTTGGTTCATTTGGGTTTCTATGTTTTATCCAAGTTTTTTGTAATTTATAATCTAATTTACATGTATGGAATATGCCATTAATTAAAGTGCACTATCTTTTTTTCCTCCAGCCTCTCTCCCCCAAATTCTAGAATTTATTTTTTAAAAGATTATGTAGATTAGGAATATTCCACTATCACTGATTCCATGTTACACTAAGCATCATTAGCCAATGTATAATTTATTCAAGTTTGAGACCAAAGTAAATACAAGACTTCTGTCCAGGAAAATGCAATCTCTTTCTTTGTTTTTTTTTTTTTTTTTTTTTTTTTTTTTTTTTTTTTTTTTTTTTTTTTTTTTTTTTTTTTTTTTTTTTTTTTTTTTTTTTTTTTTTTTTTTTTTTTTTTTTTTTAAACCTGCATTCATGGTTCTCTTTATTGTTATATGTATAGTGAAATTAAATATAAGAATCAACATCTCCTTTGCCATCTCCTTGTGTTTTGCAAATAAAGATCATCTTCAATATAACTGTTGTAGCAAAAGTTGGATTAACTGCAGGGAAGAGTCTAATTAATTAGAATTTTAAAAGAAATATTGTCATGTTGCAAAAAGAGAATTTGGAAGACTTTCTGTGGATCCAGGATTTTACCCTTCAAATATCACAAAGAGTCATCCTAAGAATTGCTGGGACTAAAATGATGATCATAATGACAATATTAAGACAAAAGCCTACTCAAGTTTTCATAATTTTACAAACTGTATTAGAAGAAAACTCAAAATATCAATAGAAGTATGTTCTTGTGAAGGAAAATTCTTACATGTCCTTTGGTTCAGGGCAATATAGCTTGTGTTAAATTCTGGGGTTCATAAATACAGCAAAGTCAAGTAAAAATCATAGAACAAACTGGAACAAAAATCAAGGAAAACTAAATGAAACTAAGTGTTGCATGAACTACACCTGTCTACTAACAAACTATATCACGTGAATTAACAGAATAGTGCCATAGAAAAACAAACATATAATTACATATAACAGCTAACTAGATCTTCAAAATATTTAATAGTAATAATAAAACCAACAACAACAATAATAAAAATATATTTTTTAAAAATCCTTATTTTTTATAGTGATGCATTTCCTGCATGAAAGGCTGCTTCCAATAAGTATTTGTTTCACTAAAACATCCCATTTACAGTTATCTAGGCTGGTTTCTGCTCTAGAAAAGCCTCCATGAAACTTCAGCTGATTTGAGGCCATAAGCTACCCATGAGCCCATCTTATTA